TTTTCATTTTCACACCTTAATCACTCAAAATCTCCACTCAGTTAGCTTCATCATCATTCAATGAAGCTAAGCAGCTCAAGAAATTGAAGAATCGTGGCCTAAATCAAGCTTGACGACTCCATTTTCAAATCTTCAAAATTGAGCTTCAACGGGTACAATTCTCAACTGTTTTGAGTCAAATTTGTTGCTAAGATGTAGTCCTTGGTGTGTTAATGTTGTTAGGATTGTTAGATTTTAGCTATGGTTGAGTTTAGCCTGTTAATTTTCAAATCTGTGTTTTAATTTTCTTCTGGTTTTTTCCAAATCGAGTGAGATATGCTTAAAAGAAATTTGGCGCGATGATATGGTTGAGATCGTCTTGAAAAGACGCATCAAATGAAACTACTATGAGCTCCAATGGTTATGGTTTGAAGGATCCATGATTTTCTACAAACTCCTTTGGGTTTTAAATGGCTATAGGTTGAAGATGATGAGCTGACATCATCTGACCGTCCATGCCTAACAGTTGTTATAATCATGTGCTTCTGACTTTTGTTGGCTCTGTATGGTTGAGTTGACTTGAGTCTACCATGAATGCGCGCTTTTGGATCACCAGATCATCTACATCATTTGATGAGCTCAGATCCAATGCGCCATAGTTTTTCTGTTTTATTTTCTTTTTCAAAATTGTTTTTAATTTCATTTTATTTTCAGAAAATCATAGAAAATCCATTTTTTATCAGAAATATACCAAAATATTTTCTAAAATTTCCTTTTATTTTTCTCTTTCTGATTTTCATTTTTGTGCATTTTTGTTTTTCATTTTTCTATTTTTCTTGGATTTTTGTTTGATTGGTTAATTTTAATTGGTTTAAAATTACTTTTAGGCTTTTTAAAATTATGAGAAAAATATCATATGATTCTATGATGATCTTTGACCTATGGTAATTTTATTTGATTCTTTTTCTGGTTTTTCTATTTTCCATGGATTTTTGGTTTATTTGCTTATTTTTAATTAGTTTAAAATTGTTCTTGGGCATTCTAAAATTGTGAGAAAATTAGTACATGATCCTATGATGGTCTTTGACTTAGAGTGATTTTCTTGGATTCTTATTTATGTTTTAAATATTTTCCATCTTTTATTATGTGATTTATTTGCTTTTTTATTTGATTTTTAATTGATTTTTAGTTGATTTTAAATTGCAAAATTGTGTAAAAGTGTTTTAGGTCCATGTGTGGATGGCTTTCTGATTTTTCTTCAAGTCATTTGGGACTTATGTGCTTGATTGTTGTTTCTTTCCTTTTGTGGATGATTTGGATGTTTGATTCTTCTTTGAGGCTTACTTTGTTTTCAACTTGTGTGATCTCTTTTGTGTGTTCATGGATAAATGGTAAACCTGTTGATCATGTTAACATTGTGGTTTCATCTTGGTTTCATTTCATGCTCTTATGCTTTTCCATTTTAGGTTTGTGTATGCATGCTTGTTTTGTTTTAACTTGTGGCTTGCTTTTGAACGGGATGCATGTTCTTGATTTTTTTTGTGCTCTCTCTTTGATAATTGACATGATTGAAATATGATATGTTGTGCTACTTCCCTTCCATGTTTCTTGTGCCAGTTGATTTCATTTTATCTTGCTTTGTGATTGATGATGCTTATTGAAGATGTTAGGATGTGTGTGGGCATTTTGTTCTTCCACTATGTTTTGTTCCCAATTCATGTGATATGGTTAGACATGTAGATGCTTATTTGATATGTTGACTTCATGTTGATGTTTACCTTGTATGAGATTGAAATGAGGGTGTTTGATATTTCTCTGTCATTTGAACTTTCATGTTTGTTCTTCTTGATTGTATCTTCCCCTTTCTTCATCCTTTTTTCTCTTCTTGTTGTCAATTGTGATTGAATTAGATGGTGTTTACTTGAGCTTGCTCACATGATCCCTTACAATTCCTAGTCCCTCTTATTTTTTGATTAAGGTGGGAGTAGGAGAGACATTAGGATTTCAATCCTTTGCATGATAACAATGAAGATAGTCTCTTTCATCTCAACTTTAGGTTCATCATTTGTATGATAACATTAGGTAAACTTCCTTTTCATCCTAACCTTACGAGCATTTTGTATGATAACATTAGGGTTTTCAGTTTTCTTTTATGTCTTCTCTTCTCATCTCAAGAAATTTTAAGGCACTTAATAAAGAATGATGAACGTTGTGCGCCACGAGCCTCAAGTATGTGGAAAATGATGAGTGGGGGGTTTCTCCTCACTTGTCTATAGTGATTAGTGTATGCCCCTTGGGCGATATGCGACGCATTCGCTCCTATGTCATAGTCTTTAGTACAACGTGAATCTCAAACAAATTCAACTCACTTCACTAAAACTCTTAAACCAAATTAAAACCTTTTTATCCTTCGGGATTGTTCTTAAAATCTTTTTCAGAAAAGAGTACGTTACTTTTTCGTTCCATCGCAAACAGTGATTGACCCTAACTGCTGGAATGAGAACTTACCGTCACTCATAAAAAACACTTAACCAACCAGTGGTCTAGTTTCCCGAACTACATTTGCTTTGATTTCTCATACCAGATGAAGATACGTACGCACAAAACGATGATGTCTTGGCGAGCAACCTTCCCCCCATCACCCGTAGTTTTCCGAACTACGTTGACTCTGAATTTCCCATTGCATGAGGGAATACGTAGGCATAGGGCGGCGATGTCCTATCTAGTCTCTTTTTTTCTTTTTCCTCCCCCGTTTAGAAGTAGCTTTTAGATAAATCACCATTTGATTAGATAACAAGCATGGATTCCGTTGAGTACAACGGACGTGAGGGATGCTCATACCTTCCTCCTGCGTAATCGACTCCCGAATCTAAGATTTGGTTGCGATGACCTTGTCTTTTCCTGTTCTTCAGGTTTTCTTCTATCGTTTCCTTTCCCTCTCTTTGGAATAAATACCGTTCGGTGGAGACTCTTCTGTTTGTTTTTTCCGGCCCTTTTCGCAGTTGCGACAGTTCTCCCTTCAACGCTTCCAAACAACCCTACTAAACCAGTAGGGCTTTCATCTTTAAGCGCCACATACCGAAGTCGTTCACTCTAGTGAACTTTTCAATCTCATAGTTTATTGAAGACATCTTCTCCACACTCACCGCACCAATTTGTTGTGAATCAGATAGCTCGAAATAAAGTATAAACAGTTTCTTTATGATCAAGAAACACACAACGATTATGGTTAATAAAGAAAATAAGGTAAAACAACAAGAAACAACAAGGATTGGTTATAAAGTGATATTCTTTCCTTTCTCTTAGAAACAAGATTGCAAGTATACAAGAATAACGAAATAACATCTCTCTTTCTTGAAATTAGGATTTTATCTTCCTATTTTTCCTTATGGCAAGATAAGAGACTAGCATGCTATTTATAAGAAAAATAGAACACTAACCTAATGGGCTTTTTAACAATTATCCATTACAAGCTAACTTAGGGTACAAGCTAACTTAAACAATTGAGCTTACAAGCAAGGTCCAATTCAACATGCTAACAAACCTATCAATATTGACTAATGCATGTTAGAACAAACTTCAACTACAACACACATTACTCCAACAGCAGCATGTGAACAAACTTCAACCTCATGCTTAATTCTTGTCGAACCAGGAGCTACCCTTCGGCCATACTAGAGTTCGATCCAATATCTCACAATTTTATTATGGTGTTTGTAGGTGTGCCTCTGAAAATTATCCTAAGGTATTTTAATGTAACCTTTAGCATATGCTTTAAGTGTTTCCTTGTACTATGTTTTTTGGTCTTTTGATATGATTTGTCCATGGTTAAGATTTTACTGCCTGGGCCTATCACCCTACACTAAAGGGTTGTTAGTTTCGCCCAAGGACTAGTATCTGATATGAGTTTTGACAAGAGGTCTCCCCCTTAGGATCCATCATATTAATAGCCTTAAGAGGCAACATGGACTCCCATGAAGGGATCCAACATGTTTAATAACCTTTCGAAGGGACAAAGACTCCTACTTAGGGATCCACAATGTTTAAGAGCCTTAAGAAGCGGTAGAGACTCTCACATAAGGATCCAACATGTTTAACAGATTCAAAGGATTGGCCTGTGTGCAATTGGAACAATTGAAAGATTAGGAAGTTTAGCATTTTCAATATCAAAGTTGTCTTTGTTCAACCAGAGTTTCTGTTTTGGTGTTAACATTATGCCCGTGTAGTTTAGTTCTGCGGTGTTTTGCTTTGTTTCTCCATCCGTCTGGCATAGAGGGAGGTTTTAGGTGTCACATATTCAAGGCAAAGGGTGCTCTAGTTGGTTTTTTTGCTGGGGTTGTGTCTGGTCTAGCAAACCTTTTTTGTTGTTTAGCTGTAGTTTCTTCTGAATAATGGGTGTTTGCTTGACTTTGATATTATAGATCTGACTATTTAAATTTTTGGTGCTCTGCTCAAGTGTCAGCAGTGCAATTATTTTACCTTACCTTTATTATTTTTCAGTTTTGGTTTTGCAGTACTTGAACACTGTTTTGCATTATTGCTTTGTGTTAGACATTGATTTAGCAATTATTCATATGTTTAGTTGAATAAATTTTTTCTTTTTGAAAAAAAAAATAGCATACCATATCCAGATTCACCAACAATTGTGATTTTTGAATATAACATCTATATTTTTATACATAATTAATATGGTGTTGTGTGGATAAATGGTGCAGGGGGTATATCTAACATTTATCTTGAAAATCATCCTGCGATAAAAGGATCATTTTCCACTTGCCATTTGTTTGATAAACTTGGTAACTTGATATCACACACGTGTCTCATTAACACTTTAATTGAGAAGTCGGTGATGATGAGGATTCATTATTAACCTATCCACTGTTCCCACAATCAGACAAATGAATTTTCTAACCAGATTCTTTTTTGTTCTTCATCTTACATCTTTTCTTTTTCATTTCATCACTATAAATAGCATGTCCACAACAACAATCATACTTACAACAAATAACCAAGTTACAAAGATGAATCTCAAGCCCGTTATTTTCTTGTGCCTCCTCTACGCACTACTTCTCATCACTTCTGAAGCAACTAAACCGTCGAAAGATGAAAAACAAGGTACTTCAACAATTCTGTAACCTGAAAAGGAAACACTTTCCTGTATATTAAGACTGTAATGAACAGCAATTCTGAATAGTGATGTATCTTATCTACTTATACTGATATTAGCAATATTAGAAAAGTGTTTGTATATATGCAGCAGATGAAACAGATGTTTCCAAAACAAAGGTTGGGATAGACGGCTGGGAAGGAAGACCTCTCAGAGGACCTGGAGGCGGTCCAGGCGGAGGAGGTCCAGGTGGAGGGGGAGCAGGAGGAGGAGGTCCAGGTGGAGGGGGAGCAGGAGGAGGAGGTCCAGGTGGAGGGGGAGCAGGTGGCGGTCCAGGTGGAGGGGGACCAGGTGGTGGTCGTGGAGGCCGCGGGCCTAACGGAGGACCGGGTGGCGACGGGCCAGGCAGAGGTCCAGGCGGAGGAGGTCCCGGCGGTGGAGGGCCAGGCAGAGGAGGTCCCGGCGGTGGAGGGCCAGGCAGAGGAGGTCCAGGTGGAGGAGGGCCAGGCAGAGGTCCAGGCGGCCCTGGCGGTGGTGGAGGTTAGTTCTCTTATATAGATATTATTAATAATATCCTAAATTATATTTAACTTTTTTTCATGAAGAGTGAAACATTCATTTTCTTGTAGTCGCTACTAAATATTTTCAAGAAATAAAGTGATATTAGCAATATCTAAAAAGTAGTTGTATATTTGCAGCGGAAAAAACTGGAGAACCCAAAACCAAGGTTGGTGGAAGTGGACACGGTGGGGGAGGATCACATGGGGCAGGAAGTGGACACGGTGGAGGAGGATCACATGGTGGTGGAAGTGGAGGAGGCAAAAAAGGAGGGCGTGTGGGAAGTCCATGAAAACAATGACACGTTGATGCATGCATGTGTGTTAATAACGTTGTAGTAGGAAATGTAAAATAAAGCATGGAGTGTATCATACTTCATGGCTAGTTTGTTGTAGGATGCATGTAGTTTTAATTAATAATGTTGCTACTTATATCTAGTTAAAAAGTACTCGATTAAGAAATAAATGAGATTTAATGAAAGAAGCTGAGTCAAAGAAGGAGTAAATTAGATAAAATAGAACTTTTTCAAAGAAGGAGTAAATTAGATAAAATAGAACTTTTTCTTTAACTCGTCAGATAGTTGGGTGTAATAGTAAAATAGGAATAATATAAAATAAATACATTAAATAATATAATAATGTTTAAAAATAATTTAAAAGATAGACAATATATTTTTTTAAGAAATTATTTTTCTCTCTTCATATAAGAGACAATATTTTTTTTAAGAAATTATCTTTCTTCTTTATATAATTGACAATATCAAGAGATTATCTTTTCTTCTTTTCTTCTTTATATAAGAGAGTATCTAGAGATTTTCTTACTTTATATAAGAGATAAATTTAATACATTGATTATTTGTTTAATACATTGATTATTTCATTTTTAAATAAAAGACAATATCTCTTTTTACGAGATTAATTTATATTTTATATAATTTTTTTTATATAAAAGACAATATTAAGAAATCCTTTATATAAGTATCTTTTCTTAATATATATTTTTTTATATAAGTGACAATTTTTTAATTGATTTATATTTTATAAATTTAATAACATTGATTATTTGTTCTTTATATAAGAGACTATCTCTTTTAAGTATAAATTTAATACATTGATTATTTGTTCTTTATATAAAAGACAATATCTCTTTTTAAGAGATTATCTTCCTAAGAAAGAGACAATATTGTTTTTAAATTTATTTAAATGTATTAGATATTAATATATTATTGACTTATATTTTATATAAATTTAATATTAAATAATTAATATATTTAATTAATTTATATTTTATATAGTATATTTAATTGATTTATATTTTATATAAAAAATTTAATTATTTAATAAATTTAAAATATGAATTGTGTCTTCTATATTTTAGAATTTAAATAGTACAAAATAACAAATATAAGATAGAATTAGACATAGAGAAAACGTAAATGCTATAACAATTCACAACTTGGATCCAAAGTGCTGAAATTTAAACTTAACATTTAGAAGTCTTTTATTTCAAACACAGGTTCCATCATAAATTAGGACTTTATTCGAAAACTTAACATATAGAATCCTTTTATTTCAAACACAGGCTCCATCATAAATTAGGACTTTACTCATAGACCCATTTATGTATCTTAAAATTCACTTAAATGCTTGTCAGCGTGCCTTTTCAAGATTGACCATATACCTACTTGCAAGGCTTACTCCGTATGCTATATTTGGTCTCGTACAGACCATAACATACATCAAAGAACCTACTATACTAGCATATGGAATGATATTCATATAGGCTATTTCGACTTCAGTACCATGAGTTTGAGTTGAACTCAGCTTGAACTAAGGATTAATCGGTGTTAGAATAAGCTTTGAATTTGACATACCAAACTTGTTGAGAATCTTCAATAGGTATGTCTTTTGAGATAAACATAATCTCTACTACTTTCTATCTCTTTGGATGTCAATCCCAATAATCTAGGAGGCAGCTTCCAGATCCTTCATGTCGAATTCCTTATCGAGTTCATCCTTCACCTTCATAACATCTATGACATTGTTTCTTGTCATGAGGATTTCATCCAAATAAAGCAACAAAATAATAAGTGAATTTCCAGGTTGAAATTTGAAGTAAACACAGTGGTCAAACTGTCTCTTAGGAAGACCTATGCATGCCACGAACTTGTCAAATCTTCTATTTCATTGTCGAGGTGATTGTTTCAGGCCATATAGCGACCTGTTCAACTTGCACACAAAATCTTCCTTTTCCATTTTTGCATATCTTTCAAGATACCTCATCAAGATTATTTCATCTAGATCATCATACAAGAAGGTTGTCAAATCTATCTGTTCAAGTTCTAGGTCAAACTTTGCGACTATGGCTAACAATATTCTAATAGATTTGTGCTTTACAACACGTGAGAACATATCAGTTGACACCTTCTTTCTAAGTGAACCCCCTAACAACCATATGTGCCTTAAATTGCTCTAATATCACTATTTCAATTCCTTTCTTAACCTTGAAAGTTCACTTACAACTGACTAACTTGGCTCCACCAGGTTTCTCAATCAGATCTCAAATGTTACTATCATAAAATTCATCTCATCATCCATGAATTTTAGCCATTCGGTCTTATTTCGAATCCTCGCAACTTCTTGGTAATCTCTAAGTTCTTCATGAAGGACCTCACTTGCAGAGATTAAGGAAAAAGCTATAAGATTTGCATAACCAAGTCTCTAAGGTGATCTGATGACACTTCTCGACCTGCCTCTTGCCAATAGGTAGTCATTATCAGTCTCCTCATCTTCATCAATAACTTGTTCATCTTCTTCAACTTCATCTGGGTCATACAATTCAACATTTATATGCTCTACATCAACAAGAATCTCTTCCTATTCCAACTCCTCTTCATAGATCTCAATATTTCGACCAACATCATCAGTTTTCTTGAAATGCATCTTTGCTTAATTGAAAACTACATTTTGACTTGTGATATACCTCTTGTGACTTGGATTAGGCACCACAACCTATAAGTTTTGACTTCTTCAAGGTATCCAAGGAATGTACATCTCAGAGCTCTAGATTCGACCTTATCTTGCCTAGTGTGAACATAGGCTAAACAAACAAATATTGAGTCTATTGAGATTAGATGGATGACCCGATCAGACTTTTTCAGGTGTCTTCATCCTCAAGGTCGTTGATGGACACCTATTTATTAGGTATGCTGCAGTCACAATAGCTTTTTCCCAAAACACTTCCTTTAAGCCCGCACTAACCAATATCTACCTCACTTTTTCCATACTGGTTTGATTAAACCTTTCATCCAAACAATTTTGCTGAGAAGTACATTCAATAGTTATATTCCTTGCAATACTAGACATATCATAATAGTTGTTGAAAGCCTCATTTCAAAATTCAAGACCATTGTCAGTCCTCAACCTCTTGACCTTCCTGCCAGTTTGGTTTTCGACCAGAGTCTTTCAACTTTTGAAATTTTTTAAAGTTTCATCCTTAGCTTTCTGAATGAATACCCATAACTTTCTGGAATAATCATTAACTATGGATGGAAAATATCTTGCACTTGAGTGTGAAGGATTTCTTGCAGGCCCCCAAAGATCAACATGAATATAATTAAGGGATCCATGTATTCTTTGTTTACCTTTGTTAAACTTCACCCTATATGATCTACCAAGTACATAAGGTTCACAAAACTCGAGTTTTTCGACCATGTCACCACATAATAGAGTTTTTTTTTGACAATTCAACCATGCCTCTTTCACTGACATGTCAAAGTCTCTTGTGACATTGCTTAGTTTTTAACACAGGTTTTGTGGATGCCACATCTGGTGAACCACTTACAACCTCGGATTCAAGGGTATACAAGCCTTCTTTCTTTATGCCTCTTAAGACTTCCTTCGACCCCTTCACTACCCTTAGGATGTTTTTCTCTCCTTTGAAAACATATCCTTACTTGTAAAATTAACCAAGAGAAATGAAATTCCTCTTAAGATCACGTACATACTTGACAAAGTCAATAACCTTATTGGCTTATCATGGAGCTTGAATCTCACAGATCAAATTCCTTCTATCTTGCAAGTTTTGTTGTTTTCCGACATTATCGATCCACCATCTAGATCACATAATTACTCAAACAAGTCCTTGTTTGGAGTCATGTGCCAAGTACAACTTTAATCCATAATCCATTACTTGCAACAGATGATTCATAACCATCTTGCACAATGGCTACATTACCATTATCCTTTTCACCATGATTATTCAGTCGATCAAGGTAGACTTTCTTGTATGACTATCCTTCTTATAATGATAACACATAATTGTAGAAGTATTACCACCATAAGAATTATGTAGAAACTTACCCCTCTTCTTCCCAAACCTACCATATTTCTTCAAGAGTTTTCCTTTTACGGATAATCTTTCACCAACAGAAGATAGTTTTTTCTTCTTTCATTCATTCAAATCCTTAGAGTACAAGGTTGATTTAACTTCTTCAAAGATCAATAAACCTCTTCCATACAAGAGAGTTTCTTTGAAGTGAGCATAAGATCCTGGTAAAGCACACAACAACAACAACAACACTTGATCTTTATCATCAATCTTGACCTCAATATTTTCAAGATCAAGAATAAAGTTGAACATACTTAGTTGCTCAGCCAAGAATTTTTCTTCACTCATCTTGAATGAATACAAAGATTGCTTCAGGTAGAGACGATCAACTGACAATTTTGTCATTTACAGACCTACAAGTTCCGTCTATACACCAGCTGTAGTTTTCTTTTTTGAAACTTAACAGAGAACCTTTGTGAGTGCTAACTGTTGTACTCTAAAATTTGACCAATCTCTTTTCTTAATCTTTGGCTTATGTTTCATTGCATTTTAGTATCTTGAATTTTCATAACATAGTTCTTACAGGGGATCAAGTGATTGTGTGTGTATCATCCAAGAGGAGATTCTTTATTGGCTTCAAGCTCAAGCAAAGGCACTGGTACAAGCCATCAAGTGGGGGTTATTATCATGAAGTTATCAGAGGGTTGTCAAGGGGTTCATAAGGTATCATCATTGGTATAAGCATGAGGTATAAGTTTGTTGATTACCTCAGAGGTTATAGTGGAATGGAAATGGTCACTCAGTTCATCTGCACAATGCCTAGGCAAAAAGGATGAAATTAGGGTTTCACTTTTGATCAAGATAAATTTGTTTTTTGGAGCAAGACTTGTTTCTATGGTCTTCCATATGCCCTAAGGTGTTTTGGTATGGGATATTGATCATCAATTTTAATCAGAAGAGCTT